GAAACTCAGATTGCTTGTGATGACCTTCAAAGGCCTTTCAGTGGTATCAAGATTACTTCTGGTGATATTTATACACCCCCATGCACCTCTGGGGTACCCTGGGAAACCAAGGCACCCTCAAGCTGACTCTTTAAGCCTATAGCTTCCATCTTGAGATTTCAGTTTACCTTCGGCTAAGAAGAGGTCAGGAAGAATTCTAGAGTTTGTTCCTTCTCCTTGTTCCACCTTATGTTTTGTAATGCCCAATAATGCTAGAGCTCGTTCCTAAATTCAGTAGCAATATCTTTCCTTCCCTAATCCCTACACCTATTTTGCAACTTTTAAAATACAGCAATAAAGTGAAGGATTAACATATACATATCCCTAAAATATTTCAGACTATTTTATTTGTTTTTTAAAAAGGTGGACAGCACATGCAAACTCTAAGAATCATAGGAGCAGCACTGATAGTTACACCAGCGTTGGCTGCTATACTGTATATGTAAGGCAAAGGAGCAAAACAAGAATATGCTTCAAATGGAAGACCTGTTGTGACTAAATTTAAATATTACACCTTTTTTTAAAACCATATACAGTTTTCAACTGGAGTTCTATAAACAACAGCAGCAAAATTTCTGATAGAAGAAAAGCAAGATTTCTTTTCTTCATCTGATTTAAAAACATTTTTCAGTTGTCTGTATACAAAGCCATCTGCTGTACAATAGGCATTTTCCAAACTCTGTGGGTTACTGGAAGGTTGATAATCTGAGCCAGGGGTGCCTCCTATACATGCATCACTTTGGCTCATTTCTCTGCTTCCTGATTCTAAGAGCCCAAACCAGGAATGTAAGACTTGTTAACAGAAGACAATGGATTAAATTTTAGAGCAACCCAGGCATGCAGAGGCTTGCTATAGAAGCAAGAAGGGTAGAAACTCAAGCCCTTCCAATGCAACATAATTTTTCCAGACAATCATCCCATATTCTCCACTGAATACTCTAATTTCTTGCTTTACAGATTTTAACATATTTGTTAGTATCACATAATACGGTAGCCTTCAATCTTTTCAAGACTGTTCTGGCAAAACATGACCCATTTCACCACTGTATTACCTCCCCCCCTCCCCCTCTGTATAAGTATATATACAAACATACATCATAGCAGTGTACTCATAATCTGTCTGGATCTTTTCATAGTCAAAACAGCACCATGGGAAAGATAAAATCAATAATCAAGTATAGTTAAAAAGATAAAACTGATTAATTAAAACATAAGACAAAGGAAAAAGCAAGTGAGGCAGATCAACAATAACAATCCTCTCTGAAATTAAGATCCCTTTTTATTTAGGCAAGGCCCATTGCCGAAGGATTGTCTGAATAAAACAACCTTTGCTGGCAGAAAGACAAAGGGAGGGGCCGGTTTATCCTCCTCCAACTCTCTCCAACTGCCAGCTCTCCCTCTCTCCACCCAAACTCCAAAACGACCAATCCTCAAAAATAAAACTCCCCATCTACAATCTAACTCTCTCCTCTCCCTGCAGAGATTCTCATATCTCATGGCTCCGCCTCTCCAGCACTCTCATTGGCCCATGCAGATAGCATATTAATATTCATGACCTGGGCAGATGCCACAGTGAAGTTGAGGGTTTTGGGGGCCTTCTTTCTCTATTTAAGCCTTGGTTGTACATAATAATTACTTTTGAAGTGAAATGGGGTAAAGGAAGTTAATACTACTAATGGTTTCCTAAATCTGGGCCAAGCTGTGGTAAAGCACATGTCTACATCTCCACTTAGCTGCTCTACATGGATCTAAAACCAGGAAGCATATTTTCACCGCCTAAAGCCACTGTGGTGCAGTCACACCTCTGTCCTGTCACAGTCACAAACAAGACAAGTAGACTACTCCAATATCACCCACCCACTTTCCTGATGTACACCTACCGTAGCCCAAATTTCCACTGATTTTATCACCACTGCCCATTCAACCACTGGGATTGGGATTGCCACCAACAATCTGGCAATGGTTTGGGGCTTTTAAAGTATCCCCACTCATCCAGAGACTCCCAGAAGCTTCCCAAGGCAAAAAGTCACCCTAGGGAGCCTTGGAACCTGAAGCTGGGGTTTGTGTTTGTAGAAAGGTGTCATTGCAATTAATATAAGTATTACCATTGCAGGTTGATGATGTAAACCTAGTTGCCCAGAGTAAAGAGTCAAGCTATCTCAAAGACCATATCTCCCATTTGGAGCTGGCTCGGGTGTTAAGATCATCAGGAGGGGTCTTTCTCTCAGTACCGCCACCTTTACAGGTGTGTCTGATGGGGACACAGGAGAAGGCCTTCTCTGTTGCTGCTCCCAGACTTTGGAACCCATTCCCACAGGAAGCTAGGCTGCCCCCATCTTTGCTATGTTTCCGCAAGCAGGCAAAGACCTTTATCTTCAGACAAGTCTTCCCCCAGCTGCCTGTGTGTGATTTTTAGAGAGACGGTTATGCATTACTGCTTTGACTGGATTTTTAGTACTACCTGTGTTTTCCAGTTTTGTGTTTTTCATTTCTCAGTGCCTGTTTTTTTTAAAAAATTGTATACTTATTGATCTTTGCCTTAATATTGCGTATGAATGATGTAAGATATCTCCATATTCATTGTCCATAGCTTTAAATATTGTCTTTTAATTATGTTAACCACCATTGTATACTCATTGTTTTCAACTTTAAATATTGTGTTTTATTGTTGTAAGCCGCCTTGGGTCCTTTTCAAGGAGAAATGTGAGATTAAAATATTTCAAATAAATAAACAAACAAACAAACTAATTAACTAACTAACTTATATCAGTAGGATTCACCTACATATACTATTACTTTGTTTAAGGCACACATTTGTAAATATCTACTCAAAAGAAAGCTCTGCTGATTCCAAGTACTTTTATGTTTACAGACTTAGGATGGGAATATTTCACTTTAAGACTGGCCACACACCAGGACCAAAATTCTAATTTTGAAAAGCAGTTTACATTAAACACCAAAAGGATTTTAACAGCCTGGAAGGATCTGTTACCTAGGCTAGAGATGACACAGACATAATAGTTGCAAAAGACATAGAAAGGCTAAGTTGATACTTTCTTTGCCAACACTGACAAAAACAAGAGAAGTGATAAACACAGCTCAGGTTTATGGAAATAGAAAGACAAGGAGAATGTAGTTACTGCTAACAACTGCTTGCATTAACTGTGAAGCCAGAGTTGCTCAAGCTTATAAAGGTCTATTTCATCCTGCAAAAGAACAAGGCTACTGTTTTTGTTTTCTTAAAAATCTGTTTGTTCTGACTATCCCAGGGAATACTTTTGCGCTGGTATGCATTGTAAACTGCTGTTCATGAGTATGACTTGAAGGAACTCCCCAAAAGCAATTTCAAGTTCCAGCAGCTTGGTAGGAATTTATTATAACCCCATCTGTGACTGCTCAGAAGAAGTGTTATGATTGTTCATGTGAATGTGTGTCTGAAAAAGGTTGCCAGGACTATTGAACAGAGAAAAGAAGTATTTTCCTTTATGCCGGCCACAGAGATGCCGGCGACAGAGACTGGCGAAACGTTAGGAAGAACAACCTTTAGAACATGGCCAAAAAGCCCGAAAAACCCACAACAACTATTTTTCTTTAATTAGATCTTAGATAAATTGCATTCACTAGACTACAATTCCTGGAATCCTCCAGCCCCAAAGTAACTTCCCCGAACTTCATATGAAAGTAACAGAAAGCAAAATCTATCATGCTGTAAAATACTGTCATCCATTTGTAAAACAAGTTGAGACTTAGATGATCTTTGTTGATCTCAGACACGATTTTCATATTGGAGCACATTTACATTAGTGTCTCCCTATTCCAGATCTGAGGTGGTAAAATTACTACATGGGGGGAAAGTATCACTCCAGTGACTGAACATTTAAACCAGTTTGCTATTTGACATTGTTTGGAAAGAGGTAGTTTGTTTCAGAAAACATAAAGCCAAGAATATTGTTATTTATGCATTCAGCTGCGTATCAAGATGTGACCAAATCAGACAACATAAACATTTATGTGCATCAGCTCTAAGTCACTTCATCAAGTAAATAATGTAAT